ATTATTCATTTAATTACATTTTAATCACGTTATATATTTTTTGATCGTATAGGATTCAATCGGCAAATCGCGGTCATGTGGCGTATTAAAACTCAAAGCTCAAATGCATATTCTAAAAGTGTGCATTTGCACGTTGGATAAAAGAGAGAGCACGATGATAATTTCCGCGATAATGGATCGTCCGATGGCTTGATTACGAGACAGTCCGATGCAGCCGAGGCACTAAGGACGGCGAAAAATAATTACAGCGACTCCATTACGAGCTGCACCTCTGGAATCAATTTTCGCGCACAAATTTGTTCTCGCGAAGCTGTTACGATCGTAAAGTGTTGCGAGGCCTTACCCTTCTACGTGCAGTTTTATTGCGCGGAGCGCGAGAGGCTGTATAATTGAAGTGAGGAGCAAGGAGATATGGAGGGTTCAAGAGGCGTGCGTTGCTTGGACTTTATTAAATAGTTGAGATGCGTTCTATTTAATTAACGACAGAACCTGCCGCCGGCGAATTTTCAAAGAGAGGTTACGAATCGTCTTGGCCGCGGCCGGCTCGCCGAGATATGAATCAGAGCGAGAGCGCATTCAATTTGAAATCACTTAATCTGCACACGGTGACTCTTATAATTCAGATCATTATTATTGTTATTATAATCATTATTCCGCCGCTGAGCGTTGCCAAAGATTACGTCCATCATACCCGACGAGGGCAGTTTTTGCATCATCCAGGCTGCATTTGGACGTATTTATGCTAAAAGGAACTAGAGTCCCTCTATACTGCCGTGCAACGCAAAAACGCCGTAAACGCCATTTTACATTTTTTGGAAACGATGTATCATAGCAGAAAAAGTTGTGTACATTAGGGCAATGTTTTTACATAATTCTTTTGCAAAATCTATCAATTACTTAACCTGAATTTTTTTTTTTTTTTTTTTTTTTTTTTTTTTTTTTTTTTTTTTATTGAGAGTTTAGTTTAGTGGCTTCTATTCCTTTAGGAATCTACAGCCATCTATAGGCACTATTTATTGTCCGAAGACATCAGGGAGTTTGGTAGACATCCATGCTCGGGCTTACAAATTTTCACGGATTAAGGCCGAGCGAATTCTGCTTACAGATCCACTCGTCAGTTCCATGAAAATTTGTCGCCACCACCGGGATTCGAACCCGGGACCTATTGACCTAGAGTCAGACGCGCTAACCACTAGGCCAACCTGGCCGGCAACCTGAAAATTTGAGGTGCATGGGTAAAACATTTTTTATTTTATGAAGTGTTAAGTTCCAAAAAACGAGGGAAAATCTTGATGGATTTACGGCGTTCTTGCTTAACGCGGCAGTATAGGGAGAGTTAAGACAACACGGCTCATGGATATCACAAACGGGAATAAAGATTACACGAATCGGACGTTTTTTGAATCTTTGATAAACCCATTCCCAAATTCCTATCTCCGTTCTCTCTCTCATTCCACTTGTTCCTTGCCGTACCCCCCGATGTCCCGGTCCACTTCAGTTCATAATCTTTGCAATTGGTAAAAATGTAATCTTCATTCCCGTTTGTGACAATGTGGAGGCCTAAAATACGGGAACCAATTAGAAATGGACTCGTATTGTCTTTACTCTTAGTATAAAGGGACTCTAAAAGGAACTAGAGAGGGGTGGGAAAGATGCTGTTTGCTTGTAAAAGCTACATACGAAACAATGTAACAGTGGGCGCGATTCCTCTCGGGAAAATGGAAAATCGGGAATTTACTTTAAATCAAAAGAAAATAAGTGCCAAAATTTGGGGACAACAATGGAACCCGAGCCGTAGGCCGAGGGTATGTGACAAGAGCAGGGCCGGATTTTCCTACTTGCCGCCCATGGGCCGTCTGTATTTTGCCGCCCCCTTCTCATTCGTTTTGAAACATCAATAAAAACCATTATCAAGTGAACGTGCCAGCGGGAGAGGGGTGCATAAGACGCGTTTACTCGTGTTGAACACATTCTTTGGGAAAGCCCTGTCAACACTACTAGCAAAAGGTCACGGAACTTTGCGCGAAAGTCAAGTTTCGTAAACCTATCTCTAATGGACAAAGCCTTCCATTCATAAGAAATGAACGAAAAAATTATGAAAGAACAAACATAAATGTGGTTCAATGATTTTAACTTCCGCCGCCGCGCCGCGCAGAACGCACCGTGTTGAACGCAATGCGTGAAGTATTCACGCAGTCTTGTAGGCGCTATGCGTTTCACGCTGACCGCACTGTGTTTGGCGCAAAGCGTGAAGTATTCATGCATTCTTGTAGGCGCTACCCGTTTCACGCTGACCGCAATGACAGCACTGTGTTTGATGCAATGCATGAAATGTGCGTGCAGTCTTGTAGGCGCTAATATGTGTTACATGCCGATTGCTGCGCCGAGGGCTTCTCTTTTTCATCTCAAGTCCTCGTCATCATTTCTCTGTAAGTCGCGCCGTTCCAGGTCAAATTGTGTGTTTGGTTTCTCTAATGAGTTCATCGTGTTTTTCACGCCATATTCCAGCTGAATCGGCCCTTCTTTTCGCTCCAGCCAAAGTTTGCAGCAGACGTACCGTGGCATACCAAAGTATAAAATCCAGCAAAAAACATCCTATAGAGTTGCCAAGTTCGGTTATTTTCCGAACTTATTTTTCGATTAAACCCATCAAAAGGTGCGATTTAGACGCACGACGTGACAACCTCGTGGATGAGTCCGCGTCCCAGGGTAAAGTTACATTTTCTCCGGGCGAAAATTAATAACGCCTCGCGCCTCGCCAAATGGATAGGTAAAAGTGTCCATTTTTAATTAATCCAAGTTAAGTGCTAGCCAGCCCGAGACGCGAGGGGGGCGGAGGCAGGCGTGAGGAGGAAGGGCGGTCAAGCGCCCGAGCCGGAGCGAAAAGAAAGAAAGAAAGAATTAATCAGCTCCGTTTTGACTCGCGGGTTGTAATCAAGAGAGAGGAGGGTCCAGCAGTTAGTGTGCATGATGAGTTGGTCCGGCGGAGAGTTGCCCGCTTTTGAGTCTTAACACCTTCCTCGGCTCGTATATTTATATGCTCTCGGTGCTGGAGGGCGTGGGTTCGTGACTCGCCCGCGTATAACTTTCACATAAATTCACTGCTCATTACCTCCCTTATGAGTGTTTGTTTGGCGGTTGGCTGCCCGGCTCGACTCCCACCGCCTCGGAACCGAGCGAGTCGGGAATGATGGCCGGGGCTTTATCGGGGTGGTGGCGCGGCCGAGGAAATCCAACTGCCTACTTATTATTTAGAGTTTCCATGCTCGGTGCGTAAGACAATGGGGTGTAACACCGCCGCCGGTTGTTTAGGATCATAATGCAAGCGTCGGAGATTAACCCGCAGCTCCGGCCGCCACGCATTGACTCATCAACTCACTATCCGAGGAATTTCCAATGCCCCGGATTCTTATCGGCGAGTAACATCTTCGTTAACACTAGACGTCTATGTCCACGAAACTAGAGGTGGTTGAATTCTCAACAACTAAAACCGAGGAAATTTTCGGAAAAAAAAAACCTAAGAGGCTTACAATGCTCTTCATTCTGCAACGTAGCTCTAATGACAAAGTGACCTATCCAAAAGCTCTGCCATTAATTTTTCCCTTGATACTCCCAATTTTTCTCTCGATGGTGTGGAATTAATTCGACTGTGGATGAATTTCATTTGCTGCAAATGTCATGTGAAATCGCACAATTTTAGCATCAATGTCAGTTTAGTACGCATTTGAGGAAGTCCGAAAATCTCCATACTATTCTTGCATTGACAATGGCAAGGTTCGAGTTCAATGAAGTACAGAAAGGATTCTTAGATTGGTGCAAGGTCAAAATAATCCAAAAGTCAATAGAAAACACGATATATTTCGTTACTTCAGCCGCTCATTTTCCACCCTTCTCATCCTCCTCCCCTTTATGACAGTGTCCCTGTTATCAAAATTGATAATATTTGTAACATAATTATTAAAGTGAAACCAACTGAGGTAGTGTCAGCAAATATAAACATTTACAGATCCCTATACGTATGAGCATTTGAGCAAAAATAAAAAATAAATCCAACAATTATCGAGAGAATCTTAACTGCGAATGCCCACTGATATTACGACACTTCATTTACGGATATTCCCCTCTTTTCTCTCCCCCATTTCCTTCTTTTCCTCCCATTTTCTTCTTTTCCTTCCTCTCTCTTCCTGGAGGAATCATTTCCGACAAAGACAAAAAAGTCAAAAAGTTCTGAATAAAACTATAAGAATTTTATTTTTACTTTCTTAAATGATACACGCAAGTGATAGAAAGAGACCCAGGTGAAAATTTCAGCAAATAATTATATCACAATGCGCTTAAAGTGCTCAACAGTTGACAGCCATCACTCTGGCTTAAGTCGTCTCAAATATTAGATCTAGAACCACTTTTGATAATTTTATCAATAGCAGGCACTTCACAGAGCAGTATTGGGTGGACGGAAAAAGTCAGAAAGTGCGAGGGACTTGGGAAAGGTCTGATGAAATTTACAGATTCAGAAACTTAGTATTTAGCTTCTGACAACTCATGTTGACTCGTATCATATAAAAAAGCGCTGAAATTGCTTTGAAACATCCCACTCTTCGTTATTATAAGCGTGGTCTTGATTACGATTACCCGTAAAGTCATTTGTTTCAAATCAGATTACTATTTTAAATCCCAGTTTTAAGTCTTTTAAGTTTAGGCTTTTCATCCGAGGGCATGCGGGAGAGACCAGGGTGTCCTTGGAATACTTTTTAAATAATTCACAGTGTTATTTACGCAGTGAAAAAGTATTTGCACAAAATTTAAAATTCAAAAGAAAACTCGCAGGTCATTCAATGAAAACACTTATAGCGACGTTCCCCATTCAAATCTCTAGGTACTTCACCTGCAAGTGCACAAATACAAGTATTACGAGTATTTTTATAAGACATCACGGTAACTTATCATAAGTTTGAACTAATACCATCCACTCTTTTTATTTTTTCTTCACGATTGGGAGAGTTTAGTGGTCAGCATAACCTAAGATACCTCCTAAGTATTTTTATTCTCCTCATTTCGATTTTAAGAGTGCTCAGAATAGTATCTGAAATTCGTTTGCAGTTGGATTGGAATTTATTAAATAACTCGCGTTTGTCCGGTAGCTTGCAGAGTTCATATAATGTCTTACTTTATATTTTTCATAACAAGCATTCTTTTGGTAAATCTCTTGCAAATGATCGGGGCACACAAACAACCTGACTGGTGGCAATCGAGCATCATTTATCAAATTTACCCTTTGTCATTTAAAGATTCTGACGGGGATGGATATGGTGACCTGAGAGGTAAGAATTTCATAATGGTACTCAATGATTTAAAATCAGAAACATTAACTTGTAAAGGTAACGGCAATAACATGCATAATGCTTCCAAAGTGCGGCTTACTTCTCGAAGTCTGTAATTATTTCAAAAAGAGCCATTGCTAATTAGTTCCATTTTATGAAAATACGTGCTAAACATTTCAGATTATAATTTAGGGGTCGCGCACATACTCATTAAAATTGGTCTTGCAAAAATTATATTGGTTCAAATGGGGGAAAGGGGATGAAACGTGCTGATAAGATTCAGAAATTTGGTGAGATATTCATCGAGGACTCAAGGACCAAAAAAAAAATGCAATTTGGGTTGGAGAGTGATCTTGCCACCTGCAGTTTTTGCGACTTAGTACCAATAATGTACCTCCAGTCACATTCACCTAAAACTATTTTTCTCCTCCAAATCCTCCATGTACACTTTTTAATAAGAAAAATGTAGAATTGATACATATCGACGGTGAAACTACCAAACAACGTATCTCGTTTGCGGTGTTTAAAAATCTCCGCTCACATTTTATTTTTTTGAAGTAGACCAAATCAATATCATTCCTTGAAATTTTCACAGAATTTTCTCCGCACGAAGAGGAAAAATCACGGAAATTTTCAAGACTGGACGTTAAGTAGCTTTTCATTTAAAAAATAAAGTATGACAGGAAGTCTGCGACGTCGCAAACCGAGATACGTGGTTTGGTAGTTTCACCGTCGATATTTACATTCAAATCACCGATACTGCATCCTAATCGCAAGGTTTGTCTCCAAAGTTCAAACCAATTAAATTTTTGTCGGAACTTTTTTTGCGCGACCTCTAAAAGTTCGATTTTTAAACGAATTTGTTCGTTTGCTTTTTAATGAAATCCGAATGAAAGGTCAGCACAGTAGCTCTAATTTACTCCAAGAAAATAGACCCTAAACAAGTTATTCTTTATCACTTTTCCCCCTTAGCCTAGAAGCTCCACTTTACATGTAGGTATTTAGACCAAAATGAAATCTTTGACACAATTTATGTTTGTCAGTGGTATTTGTATGCGCCATTTGTCGGTCTTCGAATTGAAACTGAGGGACTAAAAGTTTGCGTCAATTTCTCCCCTCTTTTGGTTTTCAGGAATTTTTGAAAAATTAGATTACATTAAGGACATTGGTGTGGATGTGATTTGGATTCAATCTTTTTATAAATCACCTATGAAGGACTTGGGATATGATGTATCGGACTTAAAGTCAATTAATTCTCTATTCGGTACAATGGAAGACTTTAAGGAGCTGCTTGAAGCAATTCATGCAAGAGGTGAGGCCAAATCCAAATCATGGCTCTGACGGGTAAGCTATTTTCCCTGAGTAATCCTCATAAATTTATCCATCAGTTTTAAACTGGACGCAAAAATGCAATAAATTCATATGCGTTTTAGATTTTTTCTCGAAAACATCCAAATAATTGTAACCTAAAACGGGCAAAGGGGCCTTAATTTCCACGAAAATATTCAGAATTCAATTATTGACACCTGAGAAAAGAGGAGTGCTCTACAAAAGTTCGGGACAAAAAACACCCATGAATTAAATTTCTAGTCAAAAAGAAAAATGAAAGTTTGTAGTTCGGAAAACGTACTTTCATAAAAAGCTATTATATTTTCATTTTGCCACGATGGGGGCTTGGATTAAGATTGACACATTGATTCTTGAATGTTGGATTAAAATGAAAATGTACACCTTTTTTGGCACAAAACTAGCGCAATTGCTCTTATCTTATTCTATGTGGTATTAGAGATACTTTCGTCAAAACTTCAAAATCCAATTTTTCGACCCAATATGAAAAAACTTGTTCTAACTTTTTTATTTGTTTAATAGGAATGAAGTTACTTTTGGATTTTGTGCCTAATCATTCAAGTGACCAATGCGAGTGGTTCAAGCTGTCTTTACAAGGCGTTCATCCTTACAAGGATTATTACATCTATAAAGATGCAAAGAAAGTCAACGACACTCATTCCACGTATCCAAATAACTGGGTAAATTTTACCACATGCTGTAAATTCGTATAGAGGATCTGAAAGTCCGTAGCATTCAAAACCGAACTCACATCATCCAGTTTGATTAAGTTACACTAAAGATTAAGTAGTGTCATTCTAAAATACAGCAGTTAGATCGATTCAGGTATTTTTGAGCTTAGGTTGAGATACATGCTTACTTATACAAAATTAATCACTTGTTCTTCTCTCCATACTTCGTGAGTTATCCAAACAAGTTTTAAACAAAGTGAGATGACTTTTAGAAATCGGCAATTCCACGTCACACGGCGATGTAGTGTGCTTTGGCTGTTGTGTGCAGTGGTATTCTAAAGTTTGAAGGGCAACTCTTCAGTTATACTTAATCAGTCTCTGGAAGACCCATAAAGTTCACGAAGAGTAGTTTTTTTACATTTTACACCCAGTGATCAAGTAACTATAGTTCGTATCTTATGGAGGTAAGGAGAGAAACTTACTTTTACCAATACCTCTCCGACAGTCTAGAAAAGCCGCAAGTATATACCAGCAACTGCAATGACCAGAATTTCTAGGAAGTTGCAAAATTATTTGTCAAATCCTTGGCAATGAAGGATCCTTGGTCCTGACATTAATGACTGAAACCTGTACAAAGTCGAATTAAATCCATACAAGAACTATAATCAGACTCTCCCGTCTAATGAAATACTGGTAAGGAGACTGAATTTTCAGCCTCCTGCTCTAAGCGATAAAATCGATTGGTTAGTTAAGAATAAAAACAATAAGACTTAATTGCTTTCAGCGTAGCGTTTTTGGCGGAGCCGGTTGGACATGGAGAGAAGAAAGGAAACAGTACTCTTTCAATCAGTTTTCATCAAACCAGCCAGAGTTTGATCTCCGAAATCCGCAACTTTTGCAAGAAATGCAAGTAGGTATTTCTCTCATTTAGTCGAGACAACTTTTGGGATTTTTATTCGAATGCTCGTTTAAAAATAGGTATCCATGATATTCACTTTGGGTACTTTTGAGTGAAATTTTAGCTTATACTAACTTTCACAAGAAAATCATTTACACCAGGAAAAATCCCTGAGGGAATAAGTATTGCATAGATATTCCATCGTAAATATTGACTTACAGCCAGTCAAATAAAATTGATCAAATCGGCATCACCTAGTTGAGGGAACTTAACTTTACTACAATGTTGCAAAATCGAGGTAAATCATTTTTTTTTTTTTTTACAAAAATATGACTATTTTTTATATTTTAGTCCGAATGGTTGATTTTCAAGTTTAATGAGGAAACAAACCTTCTCTAAGATTTTGCAGACAGTTACATCAGACTATAGTGGGTGCTCACTGGATCTTGGTCAACTAGTTCTATTGATTTTATACAAGCCCGGATGATTGTAAGTGCAACACCGTGCCGTAAAAAGTGGCGATTCCAGCGAGTTGGCAACACTGGTTTTCCTTCATTCAAATGTATGTATAACAATCGATTTTAGTGAGGCAGTGCACCACACCTAAAATCGACATTTTTAATGGATTTAAACGGAAAAAATAGTGCTGCCAACTTGCTGAAATTGTCTTGCCCTCATAGCTCCACGCCTATCAAAGGGACTGCCCATGGAGGTGTGCACATTTTATATTATTATGCGAGTACAGTATATTATTTTGGCGATAGAATCGTCTCCCGACCATAATTCGAGACGTCTTGCGCCTCTCATCGTTGACAAATGAGACCACGCAAATGCTGTTCAAACGTTGAACGTTGTATGCTCATTTTAGGGAGTTCTGAAATACTGGTCAGATTTGGGTGTGGATGGATTTCGAATCGATGCCCCAAAATTTTTAATCGAAGCAGCCCATTTTGAAGACGAGCCACAGATTCCGGATGCGGTTGGACCAAACGATTATTTCTTGCTCAATCACACATTTACCGTACATCAACCGGAAAACTACGAATTGGTGAAATCATGGAGAGCATTCTTCGAAGATTATAAAAAGACAAATGGGCAAAGCAGGTAATGAACTGATCGCAAGCCAATCCCTTTTGATAAGGTGACATACTGTAGAAGTAGAGGTACTATAAAGTTAACAGTTAATTTTCTTAATGATGGTAAGGGGCGAAAAACAAAAAAAGCACATCATTTTTTGGGGGGGAAGTAAGAAAAAACGTTCGGTCATATGAACCGATGTACGTTGTTCAATATCGGTCGTATTATTCGGTTCATGCGGCCGCTTCTTCGGTTCTGGGAACCGTATCCTCGGTTCGTGCAACCGAAATTTTTCGTTAGTGTTGTTCGATTGGAATGCTCGGTTGCATGAACCAAACAGTACGGCCGATATTGAACCATGAATATTCGGTTCATATCACCGAAATTTTTTTCTTGGTGATATTGCATGTATCCATTTTTTAAAGGAAATAACTTTCCCATAATGCTGAAATTACAAGGTCATTTCTACGTGGTTCAATTAGTATTTAAATCAATTTCCAGAATACTAGGCACTGAGGATTACGATTGGCCCATCAATTTGAAGAATTATCTAGGAAATGATACACATCCTGGCGCACAAATTCCATTTTATATGAGATGGACAAAGCAAACATACACGTGGGATTCAGCAGGCCTGGAAGAAGATATTCGTAATATGATGGAATCTTTTCCCAAGGAGAGTTACAACTGGGTTGTGAGTTATTTAGCTCTCTATTTTTTTTCTTTTTCCTTTTTTCCTTTGTTGAATTAATTAAAAAATCACTGAACTTGAGCATCCACCTAGTTGCACTGGTGAAATGGAAAATACGAACAATCGTGATTTCCGTGCAATATTTCATGAAATTTTACAAAGTTGTGAGAAACTTTAAATATATAACATACAGTCGTATTTCGTAGAATGTTCCTACCAGAAACAACGTCCCCATTCTGAATCCCTTTCTAAAACGTTGATAAGAGATACGTCTGTGTTTTTAGGGGCTGGGTATGCAAAACGCACCGAAAAGACACTTTAAAAAAATTGCTTCCTACTGAATATTGCATTCAATTTCGAAAAATAGTTTTTCCATATCTTTCATATTTGTCTGAAATTTCATGGAATCTTTCACGTGAAATTTTCAAAATTTTATTTTTCATGAACAATTTTAAGCTCGGGTTTGAATGATTAGTGTAGTACGCTAAAAAGACTCATTAGACTTACATTTCAACTCATAGATGTAATAACGTCATTCATGACAAATAAAGGATGATCCAGGGAGAACAAAAGTGTTATGATATTAATCCCCAAAAAAATGAACGTGTAATCCCATGCTCCTTTAACCAATCAAATTACCTAAATCAAATGTTTCAAATCAACTCTGTTCGAATATACCTAAATCACACGACGTTGCAACCCTTGAACGTCCGAAATAAAACAGAGTAAAAGTTCGAATCCAACTTTTCGTTCTTGACAAATTCGGGTATTTAAAATGACCAAATTTCATCAAAACGTTATTACTTTGTACCTATAATGTGTTATACAGCTCGACAACCACGACGAACTTCGAGTTAGCACGCGCTTCAATCCGGAGAGCGTGGACTCAATGAACATACTCGCATTACTTTTACCGGGAACTGCGAGCATATATTACGGGAGTGAGCTAGGCCTGGAAGATATCAAGCCGCGACCGGACCAACGACAAGATCCACAAAATTATCCTCGTGATAAAACCAAAACAAGAGATGCCTCGAGAGGCCCCATGCTTTGGGATGACACCAGAAATGCAGGTAGTTTCATCTGGAGTACCCAGGGAGAGCACGGATAGTACAGTAATTTTAAGGTTAGGTGATGGAGCTTTTAGGACCCAGAAGGGTAGCCAACCTACAAATTCAAAATATCCAGAGTATTTTTTTTTTCTTTTTTGGTTTGGCAATCTATACTCTGGGTATTCAGCCTGAATTTTGATGGGACGATTGTTCAGAGTAAATCATTAATACAATTGAGGGGCTTGGAGGACAAGGCGCATAAGCGCAGTTTTTGCTATTTCCAGAAATACGAGTTTGAAGTTTCGACATTACACGGATTCTAATGGAGGAAAAAAGTTCAAAGTGACTTTTAGTGTATTTTCCGAAGGAAATACACTATTTTTGACGCTTAGAAATCCGAATTTGGGAGCGAATTTTCCACAGGTTATGCATAAAGACTAGTTTAATTATAGATCATTAAAACCTAAATTTTTTCAAAGACTGCTCTTATACGCCTTGTCCTCCAAGCCCCTCAATCAATTATTATTACAACCTGTCGTTTGTTTTTTGCAACGTGTTTGACTTTTTGTATAAATTCACTTATTTTTGCTGAAGAACGCTCATTTATGAACATTTTTGGCCATTTTAGTTTGAAGATTGGCAGTGACATTTTTTGTGGTGGAAAGTTGGATACCTTTTTTAGGCTGTACTTCCGTACTCTTCTTGTATAGATACTTTAGTTCCATCATATTTTCAAAGATAATTATTTGTTTTTGATCGGTGCAATAAGTTTCAGAAAGTGAAGTATGAGGGATAATTTATAAGGTTTCAAAGTAGTCACATTGACTGTAGTCACAAGGCACGCTGCAGAAGTAGAAGTCTTTAGGAATTATTGTGCCAGATACCATTGCAATGAGAGTCTAAAACGATATTATAGGAGTTTTTTGGAAGAGCTCTTATTCCTCATCAAGACTTCTTTTCTTGCACCTCTGATGTTTTTGGGGCCTTTTTTGTTTCCTTGAATTTCTGCTGTAGGATTCACAACAGCGAAGAAACCCTGGTTACCCGTAAGTCCAAACTACTATCGCAAGAACGTAAAGACTCAGCAAGAAAATCCCAACAGTCACTTAAACATTTTCAAGCGAATAGTGCGATTGAGAAAAACGCCTGTCATTCAAGTGGGCGACTTCGAATCGTATGTGCACTCTAAATGGGTCTATATGTTTACGAGGTGAGTGATATGTTAATATCTCATAGGCTTTCTTGTCTCTTGTAAGTTGTAGAATCGTAAATGTACAAACTACTGTATACACGGTATACTGTATGTATCTTACTAGCACTAGAAAAACCCCTTTAATTTGGGAACGAAGTTTATTTACCTATCGATTCTTTCCATTCCCTTTCTTTTCATGCATACATAGAAGCCACTTTTACAGGGCTGTTTGGCGCTCTGCGACTCCCAGCCGCCAAGGTCCCCTATACACTCCCAAAGCCCCTCAGGGAGTTGGCACTCACCCATTTTCTTTGAAACCCCCTGTCGCCGCCCTATTTTGCCTTTCATATTAAATGAATGAAAAAAAAGCCCCTTCAAGAAAATCAAGAATTTTATGATATCATATAACAGGATGGCGCATTATCCGTAAAATTACTGTTCACATTCATCAGGAAGCATTATTGCTACGGGATTGGGGAGCGACTCAAGCAGAGGAGACGGGTGGATTACATTTTTTCTTATGTATTTAGGAACATAGATTTTCTTAAAAGTATTTGATCTTTTTTGTACTTAATACATGATACATATAGTAAATGTATTTGCTTTGCAGATTCCTAGCGAATGAGATAATTGTAGTGATAATGAATCTTGGATCAGAAACAGAGGACGTTTGTGCCAAAACTTCAGCGTCAGAATTGCCCAATACTATGTTTGTGCACACAAGCAGTATTCATTCTGGTCTCCATGCTGGGTAATTTTCTTACATTTTTATTATTAGCTTTGTTAAGTTCTTCGTGCTTTCGGCAAGTTTTTTCGTGATTCAATGATTAGTTTGTCCCTTAACGTGGGATGTGTTCACGATAGACCTGTGAAAACAAATCACATACATTTACTATATTTGGGGAAATTGGGTAGAATTTATCATAAAAAATGCACACTGATAAAGAACCATGTAAGGATAAATACATGCATCTTTATACAGCGTTTTGGAATTTTCACTGTTGATTAATTTTTAGGAAAAATCCAATGAACATTATTTATTAACAATATATTTTCACAAGTTTGTACAGAATAAAAGAAAATCAGTAAAAACTCAAGTGACAAGAAATCTGCATCGTCATAAATTAAGTTGCATGTTTAATGACATTCACCATTGATATATATGAATGGGGCATAGGAGTTTGATTCTGCCGGATCTACCCCTCTTATTAAAAGCCCTCAACAAGAACATGAACCAAAAACCTACGTATAAAAGTAGATAAATACAACTAAACGACTTATTTAAACCGAGGATCTACCATTTATAAAAATCAGGGATTTGAAGGGAAAACAAATGCATGTCCATAATGATTTTTTTTTTCATTGCAGAGGAAAGGTGAACACTTTGGGATTGGATGGAACAGGCTGTGTTTCGTTGCGGCCATTCGCGACAGTGGTTCTAGCTACTAGCCATGGTGTTTTCGTGTCCAATTCAATCTCTTTTTTAATTTTGACCGTATGTCTTAAATTTATACAGTGAAGTTGTCTTGCAAAGCGCCGAAGTTATTGAGGAAAATATATCAAGTTATTAAGCTCTCTTGAAAAATTAAATAAAAGGATAAATCAATTCAATAACAGTACTTTTATAAATCCACCTACCTTTCTCATTGCCTCCCGGTCTCAAATAGCACAGATAAGAGCAGCACCGGTATAGAAGAAAATAAACTCCAGGAATGAAATTATTACGAAGAAAAATTCAAGATCTACGAGAAGTTGATCGAATCTTTATTACCAATGAACATGTCAATTTATTTACCATGGGCTAAAGAGCCTCCCAAAAAAAGGGCCTTTTTTGGCCCCTTTTGTGAAACTCGGGGATTTCATTCAAATGTGGCCTAAACGAAACCTTATGATGACCCAAGACTCCAGTAAAAATTTTAGCTTGAGTATACGTCTAGTTTCGGAGATACAACGTTGCAAAGTTTGCATATTTAAGCTTTAAAAATCTTCATATTTTCAAATATTATCTTTCTAAAACTAACATGAGAGTGAACTTTACAATACTGAAACAAAGCGTAAATGAAGCATAATGATAAAGCAAGTCTCCAGTAAAAGTTTCAGCGTATGTATGACCCCTGTTTAGGTAGTGCAACGTTGCAAAGTTTACCTTTCTGAGCTTTAAAAATACTCATATTTTTGAGTTTCTTATTTAAAAACCAATTTTAGTGAATGTCCAATTGTATTTTGTGGCACGAAATTAACCCTTAGTGGTACTCGTGGATGCATAGTGCATTGATGTAAGGCTACAATAATTTCAAGTAACACAGCGTTGCAAAGTTTACATCTTATACCTCTGAACATGTCTTTTCTATTGTTTTTTTTTATCAAAAAAAACTTCGATCAAACATGTCTCGGTATTTTAAAGCAAAATGTTAGGACTCTAGTTAGAACTAGATGACAATTGGTATAAGAAATTACACTGTTGCCTATTTTTTTGTTTTCCTTCAACATTTATACATAAAATAATTTTAAAATTAGGATACTTCCAAAAATAATAATCTGATTTCAAAATCAAATTCAAGAGACTTTGTCATGCTTAATGGAATACTCATCATCAGCGTTTCTTTCAAAATCCAACAAATTCTGCCTCGCCATAGTTGCCAATTCGACCTTTTGTTAAGAAAAATTAAAAAATAAACATAGAATACGGAATATTTCGAGTTTTTTAGGTATAAATTAATCTTGATCTAGAGAATACATTTATTGCGCCTTGAAAAAATAATGCGTTCATCCATTGCATCCGTTCTTGTTCCTTTAGTGTTCATTTAATCATTTATTTGTTTTTTTTTTTTTTCTTAATGTTAAAGTTTAAGATTAGCGACAGTGTCAAGAGTGTCAAGACATTGTCCATAGATTTGCAGGCAGAACTTGTACCGATGTGTTATAAATTCATGCAAAAAAAAAATAAATATAAAAAATGAAAAAAATGAAGAAAAAAATAAAAAAAATTATAATTGTTATTTAAAAAATGTAAAAAGATTAAAAATGTAAAAACATTAAACATGTAAAAAAAAATAAATAAAATAAAAATTAAAAAAAGTAAAGCAAAGTTACAAAAATCAAATATCAATTCTTAGAGGATTCCTTATTTTAATTTCTCATTTATTTATCGTTTTAAAAGAAGTATTAATAAACTTGATCATAGTATTTTTGCCAATACCAATTGTCACTCGGAACTGACATCAACCCTCGATATTTTGCCTTGATATCAGGTATTACATTCATAGACGTCATCTTTAACTACCATAAATAATAATTTCAAGAGTTTAACGTTGTTAGCTTGGCAACGCTGTACCACCACCAATCAAAGTATCCCTGTTTATTCGAACATACATCTACAAATGACACGTGGGTAGATTTTACTCCTCAAATTCGGAAACAAGATCCACGAAAATCGCTCTTTAAACGCGGAACTTCAAAATATAAACATTTTTCAAGCTCAAATAAATAAACTTTGCAACGCTGTATCATTGAATCTGTGCTTACGCTCACGGTAAGGCCTATATGGAAGACGTATCTTATTATAAAATTACACCTAAACCCCATAAACATATATTTTGGTGATCAGTAAGTTCGTCTTTTTATAAAAAAACTAACCAAAATGAGCATTTTTTATAGGTCTTTGGTGTCAACTTTGCAACGTTGTATCAAGAGAATTAGCAGTATTATTGTATCAATAGATGTATGCATTCAATAATAAGACTAACTGTTGGTTAAATGTCACAAAATATCATAAAATGTCCGATGGAGGTGTTTTCGAAAATAAGATACTTGAATATATGCGAATTTTTAAAGCTTAAATATGCAAACTTTGCAACGCTGTATCTCGGAAACTAGACGTATACTCAAGCTAAAATTTTTACTGGAGGCTTGTCTCACCATAAGGTTTCATTTCAGCCACATACGAATGAAATCCCCGAGTTTCAAAAAAGGGGCCACTTTTTGGGAGGCTCTTTGATTGCACATTGGTGTCTCGGCACTCATTGTCCAAGTTTTACGTAAGTTTCCTATTATTGCAGTTTAAATGCGCCATAGCATTCAAATGAGTATAAATTGAAAAAGTCATTAATTCTTAATGAAACACGTAACACCCAAAATAAAAAAAGAGATATCTCACAAGAGTAGAGTCACAATAGGTTTACTAATAAACGAAAAAGTAAATTATATTTGATGGAAAATCAAATAATTTAACCCAAAAATATGATCTCAAACTTTCTCCATTCATAGGGGCTGCATTTTGCAATTTGGAAATATAAATTCTGGCTCTTCTGGAAAAACACTCATGTGAATAGGGAAACTAATGGCACATACGTTGTTTTTAAACCGGGCTAGAATATATAGTTCCAAATTGCAAAATGTAGTTCATATGAGAAAACGATAGACGCGAGCACCGTATGAATATTTGCGAAAGGAATTATGAGCGCTCCAACCAGGTGTTGGTCATAATTTTGATCGTGATTAAAAAATCACGAGTGTTGGTTCTTGCTTCAAGCCAAAGTAAAGATAACATTTATAATAGATATAATTGTTAATACCACGAGGAGATAGCGTCCTCTCTTCATATTAGCAATTGTAAATCAAACATCCATGACATGACCCGCCCGAGACTGATCAGGGTTTCTCACTTTGTTTTCAGCCCCCTTTGACTGCTCGTAAGATTTTTATGAATCTCCTACTTGTTCCACATTTATTTTCTCACCTCAAAACGATTATTTTGACCCTTTGTCGTGTTCGACGTCATGACTACTTATGACCACTAGCCAGGCTAGTATGGTCGTGTGAAAATAATGACAGAAGAGAGGTTGCCAAAAAAAAAATGCTTGATTGCGTTCTTCTTGGGAGGAGTCACTTAGGGGCCGCAGAGAGGCAAAGAACGATGTAAACGCGGTTTTTATGTACGCATGTAATTTTACCTCACAAAATTCGAAAGAAAAATGAAAAAATGACATATTTTTAAAAGATCTCAGAAAGTTTTCAGATTGCAGTTCTCGAATGGGGCTAAATCGGATTCCAATGGGTCAGTCGCTCAGTCGCAAAATTGCATTTTGACAGTCTAAAGTTAAAGATTAGTAAAATTGACTAAGATCAATTCTACGTCCACCATTGACGAAGTATCGCCCATCAAAAAACAGGACGTATGACGTCATCCACCGCGTGCATTGGAGCTATTTTTCGCCATTTCATCATTGCATTTGGGCAAAAAAATTCATCATGAGGTACTCCTGGCATTACATTTGAGTTTGGGAAGCCCTGTCTAGGGTCTTGGTTGATTTTGAGCTGACCCGATGCAAGTGCGCTTCAGAATATTGGTCGTGCACGCGGTAACGATTGTCGATCGGCGGCGAGGCGGGTCCGATAACTTTGAATCAGATTCGAAGACCTCTCTTTAACACTTCTCTCTCGTTCCCTGGCTCAGGGTCTTTATAACCAACGATTCTCAGGTCAGGTTTTGCGATATAATTATTTCCACTACTTTTGACCCACCGAGTATCTTAGCTATTCCTATTCCTCATGTGTAGTAAATTTATTCGGTGTGAAAGCTCTAGAGATGAAAAATGTTGCACGGTTTATTCTTCAAATTGAGATGAACCCAGGCATATTTTGGACACTTCAAGAAATCTTTTATTTTTTATCTGAGGGACTCACACACTTAGGACACGGCTTTACGCAGTATATGTCGTAAAATGATCGGACCTCAATTCATACAGCACCATATTTTATCGAGGCACAATGTGATATAGAATAAGTTATGTGTGATTCGATGGACGCCATATTTTGAGTCAAATAGACATGCGATGTATCGCATCGATTTGTTCAATTTTTCAGCTACTTGTCATTTTCTCAAATTTTGAGATCGCACTTCTGTTGTCAGAAGACTAAATAATTCACGTACCAATTCTGACAAACAAATTCAATGTAATATAGGCGTGGTTTTTTGCGCGAGAGCAAATATCGCGTTCGAGGGCAGTTCCGATATCACTACCGAATGTGATATTTTCCCTCCAAAGAAACCCCAAGCCTTTATTACGTTGAATTTGTTTGTCAAAATTGGTGAGTGAATTCGCTAGTCTCCTAACAACTGAATTGGAATCTCAAAATTCGAGGCTAGTGACAAGTAGCTGAAAAAATGGAACTAATCGAGGCGATATATCGCATATCGTTCTGACGCAAAGTATAGCGTCTATCGAATCACCTTAACCTCAGTGTATCAGATCAAAAAATGGTTGACCGGCACAAAAACAGGAACTTACGATTTCCTCCCGCGGTGTTCACGACACACGATGCTCTAAATTTAAGAGAAAACGAAGCAGAAACACATCGGCTTATCTTCCTACCCGCGGAGCAAGTTATACTCATCCGAGACACACCAGTTTTCTCAAGAATTATCTCCCATAAAAAAAGAAACAACATTTACTGCGAAAAATTGAAATAACAAAGATATAAATATCGATTAGCAAAGTTCAAAGGTAATCAGCTTACGAAGGGAGCGAGGGGGGGGGGGGGGGGGGGGTGCGAGAGGGGTTTATTCGGGACCGAGCCACTGCGTTACGGCGTGAAAAATTATAGCACTCGAT